AGGGGAGGGGAGGAGGGTGGAGGAGAGAAAGAAATGGAGGTGTTTAATACTGACGGCCATACTAATGCACCTCCCTCCCTACACCTCCTCTTCCTAGCTCTATCCATCCATCCTCCTCCCAGTCTTGCTATCTTTTCTCCTCCCTTTCTTTCTCCACATCCATCCCTTTCAAATTCCTTTCTCCTCTTCCTTTTCCGATCCCTAAATTTCCTTTTCTATCTGTTCTTCCCCCTTTTCTTGCTTTCTTCATACCTTTCGCTTCTGTTTTCCTTCCATCCATTCAATTCCCTGTCCTCCTCCTTCTTCTTTCTCCCTCCTATCCATTTCTTGTCCCCTCATTCTCCCAGTTTTCCTCCCTCCATCCATCCCCCCTCCCAAACCTCCAAACAGGACCTAATTGGGAGGCGGAGTGGGGGGCCAGACCTTGACAGACAGGAGGTCAGCGTAATTGCTGCTGGCCATATTTAACATTAAGATAATCAGGCCATTAATTACCCTTTGGATCATTAAATCAGCCACTTGCAAAATGAAATTTCGGCCTCTATTACTCACTTGAGAGACCACGAGGGGAAGGCATTTTTCCATCCATCAGCCTCCCCTCTCCCCAACCTCCCCTCTCTCTCTGCCTCCCACTCCCATCCCTCCTGCCGCCTGGACAAAGCCTCCGCTGGCCTTTTCCCATACCTCAACCTCAACCTATTCCTCTTCTTTTCCCTCTTTTTACACAGGTTTCTGTCGCCGCTCTTTTCAGGCACTTAGATGAGGAGGAGTTGTGTCATGTTAGCAATTTATAGTTGAGATTATCGGTGCAAATAAAGGCTTGATTTCAGGTATTTAAAGTGATGTAACAGAATACAACTTGATTAAATCTAAACCCCAAAAGGTTCCCTTTTAACTTGTTTGTTAAAAATCATTTAAATTACATCTTTTTCTTTGACAAATTTGTTTATTTTATCAGATCTTTTTTGTAAGAATATCTTGATCTAGAGACTAACAAAGGTTTTCACCACATTTCACGCTCTATCATTCATACGACTCATTTTCTGTTATGAACACTGACAGCCTGTTTCTTATGCACCCAAGTGGGACATGTTTCATTTCTGCTTTGACATAAACAGTAGAAGAAGCAGCCACAGACCGATCTGCTGGCAATAAATCAGCTAGAAGCCAGACTTAGGTAGCTTTGTTTCATACTACGCCATCACTTACTGCATATTCTTCACTTTAAAGAAATTTTACTATGAAACCAGAGGTGGCGACATTTGTGGTTAAATAACATCGCTGTACCAAATATTAACTCCAGATAGTTCGCTGCACTTCTTGTCGAGAGGCAGTTTAGAAACTTTGATTGCACAAAATAATTTTCATGACATGCTTATCACAAGCTTGATAAAAGGAGCTTGGAGTACCGGGTTGAATTATGGTATGGTACCAGTGGAGCTTTGGTTCGCCAGGAGGAGGACGTTTTCAGGCCTTGGGCTAGGACTGAGTGAGGACTACAGGGGGGCACCAGAACCAGAGCTGGGCGAGAGCTGGCAGGGGATCTGGGCTCATCTAAGACCAGACATGTTTCAAACAGTTTTGAATGTTTTAAAATTCCTACATATTTCACATTTACAACAGTAGTTAAGAAACAACACTTATAATTAAGAACTGGTGTCTAGCCTCAGGTTTACTCACCACACAGGAATGATCTCTAATACTGGTGAAAATTTTCTTATAAATTATAATTACAACTAAGAGCAACACATGATAATATTAGCGGCCAAATATCAGCAGTTCCGTGTATTTAAATGTATTTAATCCTCATATGTTCTAGTGCTTGTTGACGTCTCGCAGGTTGATTTGTAATTTAAGAGGAGCAGTGAGTGAATGTAACCTCGGTACCACAGCTTCTACATATCATTTCATAGACTGTCACTGGCACTCCATAAAGCTGTCATAAAACCTCCACGCCTTCCTCTCACAGTGTGTGTGAGGAGGATGCATGGATACATTTATGTGAAAGATAAAGACAGATGAAGACGAGGAGGGAAAGAACAAGAAGTTTCCTTTCAGATTTTAAATTAAAATAAATTAAATGTGTGTAATCAGTATTTTACTTCCATATATTGAAGAGGATGTGACAAGATTACATTACTTGACATCTGTTGATGCAAAATGTGAAAATGTGTGAGTTTGAGGCAAAACTGTAAAGTTCTTTATGTTGTCTTGTGTTTAATTTTCACACTATGGGTCAGCAACGGAGTCCCTGAGATCTAGATGTTGATATTCTGCTGTTTTATTTGTTTATAGGGCCCCCTAATTCCTCGTCGTAGATCTAGTAATGTCATTAAAGGTTATATGTGAGATTTAAATCATTAATATATCTGAAAAAAACTGTAATCTATATACAGACACAGAGTCACATGGTGTCGTCTCTCCCCTCTGCCTGTGTCTGTATCCGCAACCTCGTCTGTGGTTTGGTTCCAATAAAACGGCCGGCTCTGCTCCGACTCAGGAAAACTGCTCGTTTTTGACATCTAACGCTCGGGGGTGAATTAAGGATTTATTTCCACCAAACCAGAGTTGGTGATTGTTGGAAACACTAACAGAGACGCTTTTGGCTGATTTTGTGATTTTTTTTCTACAATACATTTATTTGTCTCTTCTGAACCACATGAGGCCACTGTGTTTCCATAAGTTGCTATAATGACAGAGAGGGGGATGATATGCAGCTAAACAGGTTTCCATCAGTATTCATCACATCTTTTTTCCAGGAGTTGGAGGGAGGAAAGAAAGGAAAAAAGAAATGGAGAGACGGCTGGAGAACAACACAAAGAAAAGAATACAGGTAGAGAGCGAAGGAGAGAAATGACGGAGGGAACAGAGAGACAGAAAGGAGGGATTTATGGAGGTGAAACGACAAACCGCGAGCCACTTAAGGAATGGACTGATAAATACTATCGACAGGACAGAGAGAGGAGGGAGAGAGGGAGGAGAGAGGGGGAGAGAGATGGAGCTGCAGTGGAGCGTTGCGGGTTAATTGAGATAATATTGACCTCTTCTCTAATCTCTTCAGGGGGGGAAACATGCTTCAGATTCATAAATAAATAGGAACATGAGCAACAATAAAAGCATTAGTGCTCTGACGGAGGAGGGCTAATGGCACGTCAATACGCAAAGATCGCTCTGAGTGTGTGTGAGTGTGTGTTCAGCATCAGTGAGTCAGTGTGGCTGCGTTACAGTGCAGACGGATGTGTTTTACATGAGTGTGACTGCAGCCAACACTTTGTCTGTATGTGTTACTCTTATAAATACTTGTGCTTTCTAATTAATAGGAATAAAGAGTCATATGGCACCCAAACAGCTCAGCGAATGAACAAAACGCACTTTAAATGCACAAAATCCTGAGATGCTTGTTATACGTACAGGTGCAGACAAGAAAGGTGGATTCAGACAAAATGCAAAGCAAATAGTCGCTGTGGATTGTTAGCACACATTTGATCACTTCTAATCTACATGAGCTTTAACAAGGAAATTGTGAAATCATTTTTGACTTCAGACACTAACCGTTTCACAATTTGTGTGCTCAAATTTAAGAAAAATGTATTTGTTCTGACATTCATTCACTAACATGTGTTTTGTGTACCAGATCTGAAGTCGTGTATTGATGGTTTTCTAGTAGTAGGTGAAGGAATCTCTGCAATGTGCAAGTGCGTATGTTTTTAAAATATGTGTAACTCGAGTACTTTTACTGGATATTTGTCACTTTACTTTGTAGTATTTTTACAGTGTCCAATCACTGCTATGCAAATGAAGAATAAATATATTTGTTTGCATGTATTTATTGTGTTTTGTTGGGTTAAAATGTGTCTGTGATTGTGAGCATATCTGTACACACTGTGTCAGTGTGTGTTGGGGGTGGGGGGGGGTCATGTGGGGAGTAATTATAAGGTGCTTCTGTTGACTAATGAGCGTTGGGGGGGTGAGTGCAGGGGGGAGGACGGGGAAGTCGATCTTTATGCGGTTGGCAGTCAGCTCTAATTTGTTATGATGGCTGCTGGCTTCCCAAAGCTGCAACGGCCGATAATTACATAGCACACACACACGCAGGTACACACTGATCAACACCAACGTCACGCTAAAGTTCACCGATTTGTTACTATCCCCTGTAGTCCACAAGACAACAGACACACACACACAGAAACACACAAACACACAGAAACACAGGTTTGGAGGCAGTTCTGTCAATATCCAACACATCCAGTATGAACCCTGGTGAGTCTGAGACACTGAAACACTGCCCCCTGTCTGCAGCTGTCAGCACTGCACTCACACAGAGAGACCAGTGGTGGAATGCAAACAAGTATATTTAATGCTGTACCTAAGCACTTTACTTGAGTATTTTCTCTTTGTGCCACTTTACTGCACAAATGAAGCTTTTTGCACACAAAACATGCTTCTAAAATATGATGTTTAATTATAAATTAAACTACCCAGCAGCATACTTAAACATTACAACCAGCGACTGAAATGAACTGTTCTGAATTCTACCTTCTGTCCCAGACTTAACAACCATTGTCCCAATTTTAAGCTCCTTTTTTCGTTTGAACGAAACTTTGTTTCTGTAACTCGCATTACTTTGTTGACCCACTCACGGAGCTCAAACTATTTACATATAAGCAACAGGAACAACCCAATCCAGACATCCAGAGAGAAAGAGTGAGAGAAGCTCTAACCTGCCCCTGCACACGACCCAAGAAAAGAGGTAGAGACCCCGGCACTGTTTGGCTGGGATTACTCTAAGCAGCATGAATGGGAATTAATAACACTATAATATATTCCTCACTTTTTCTCTGATGGTTTGAGTAAGTCACTTAATTTGTTGTTAGTTGCTTTTTAGAATAAAAGTCGCTCCAGTGAATTTTTTAAAGACATAAATGAAGAAAACTACTTGCGAGTACGATCTACATTTAGAGTCCCAAACTTTCTGACACACACAGAAAGAGGTTTCCTACCTGCTGGCGTCTGGTCCAGGTTTGAGGTGTCCCTGCGTGTTGGCCTCCCACACGCTGTTGGCGAGCTCGTTGCCGATGGCCGACATGACCTTGATGAGCTCCAGCGGCCACTCGTCCAGGTCCAGAGATCGAACCCTGGACAGGTGGGTGCCCAGGTTCCTGTGGATGCCCGAGCACTCGATGCAGATCAGGGCCCCGAGGTTCAGACTCGCCCAGTCCGGGTCTGGATGAGCAGAGAGGAAGGCCAACGCATTTGTCAGAAGATAATATTGTGCTATGTGGAAAACAACTTAATGCACAAGTTTTTATTTTTATTAACATCCGCAGCTTTCTTACGAGTCGAAGCTAAGAATTCTGGGTAAATGTTGACACTTTTCAAACTAAAACACTCAAATAAAACTTACTTGTCCACCAACTTTGTCCACCCAAATAAATGCACATCACACCGTATATAAAGAAAGTTTCTTTCTTTCTTTCTTTCTTTCTTTCTTTCTTTCTTTCTTTCTTTCTTTCTATCTAT